CGACACACTCGCGCGACACACACTACATACAAACAACAACAAACATTGCTCTGCATGTACCCATACGAATGCGTGACAGCTGAATATGCGCTGCCAATGCTAAATATTTGCTTATAAAACTATATATGTATATTAGGGTCATACCTCTGTACAGCGGTTCTTCGTCTACCTCGGGCAGCATGGTCTCGCAGGCAAAGGCCACGGCGGCCAGAGGGGCTTTTCCATTCAATAAATTGTTGTAGTTGCTCGAGTGTTGGGATGGCTGCTGCAAGAAGAGGAAAGAAAATACGGAAGAGGAGCGTTATTTGAGGGAAATGCGAGACAAGACCGAGTGACACTTACACTAGCACTGCCATCGACTGTGGTATCATCGCCGTCCGCCTCATCCTCGCTGCTCAGCAGCACCACAGGATCCGCCTCTGGCGCTCGCCTGCCTCCACGGGCTCGTCCCCGCATAGCAGCCAGGCCACCGCGGCCTCTGGCTCCCGATGGAAAGGTCACACCACTCAGCTGTTTGCCGTAACGTGCGGCTGCTGCCAGCTCGCGCTTCTCCGTGGGCGTGGCTGGCTCGCTGGAGGTGGATGATGCCGGCGAGGATGTGGCATTCGACTTGGTGAGGTATGACTGGCGCTTGGGGGGCTCCAGGAAGACGCGCTTGCAGCGCTCGCATTTGGCATGGTCCATGCCTGTGAAGCCGCACTGTTTGCACACCGCATAGTAGCCGTCGATCAGCTTTCGCCCTTCATTGGCCACCGACGCGACACCTGCTCCCGCGGCTGTGCCGTTGGTTGTTCCACCGTTCGGTGCCGCTGCACTGGCCGCCTCTCTCTTGGCCTGCTCCGCCGCTGCATTGGCCTGCGTGTACGCCGGCGACGGTGTCGTGGTTGTGGGCGCAGGCTGTGTTTGTGCCCCACTGGCGGCAGCGTTTTCCTGCTGTCGATTCATTTGTAGACTTTCCTCTGCTCTGGATATCAGTTCACTGGCAGATTCGTTGACAGAAAAGCCAACAGTAACTACAAAATCCACATTGGCACCTCGATGCTCGACACACTGGATTGTTGTAGTGTTGTCAAACGGCACAGAGACCTGCTCCAGCAGATCCTGCACAGTGCACGACTCCCGGGGCAGGGTGAAGGTGATCAGTCGCTGTTCTCCCGATGCGAGTATTACCAGCATCTTGGCACTGTTCCGATCCCTCTCGGGTATCGCCTGACCCGCTCGATTGTTGAGCACATGCTGCGAGTGAATCTCGTAGTTGTTGTGCGACGTCTGCTGCACGGATGATCCCGACTGCGAGGATGATTGCGAATCGCCGGGGTCCACCACGGAGGCAGAGGGTGGTGCTATTGCTGCTGGTGCCGGCGGTGGGGGTGCCGGTGCGGCTGCTGACGCCGCCTGTAGAGGTGGCGCTATGGCTCTTTGCGGCTGCATAATGCGTGTCCCAATCGGCACAACTCCTCCAGTGGGCGGCTGTGTGGCCAACAGTTTCGGTGCGGCACGCACCATAGTTCCCGGTGTCACGGGTCTCAAGGGCGTCAGGCCTCCACTAGTCGGCACGGATGTGGGTGCCGGCGACACTGTCATCGTCTGGCGCTTCTTAAACTCCGCCAGCGACATGCTGGCTCCACTCGCAGTGCGCACCGCCTGGACCTGCTGCTGCTGCTGTTGCATTTGTTGCTGTTGCAAATGCTGTTGCTGTTGTTGTTGTTGTTGTTGATGCTGCTGCTGCTGCTGTTGTTGCAACTGTTGCTGTTGCTGCTGCTGCTGCTGCTCCTCTTCCGTGGTGGCCTGTGGAGTGGTGTTGCCTGGATAGTAGGTCGTCAGGCTAGTGCCCTGCGCCAGCTGTATGGGCATCTGATTGGGGGGCGGCTTCTGCTGCTCCTTCTTCAAGACAGCCGCTTGGATACGCTCCTCCATATCTATCCCCATGCTGGTTGTGGTTGCTGCAGCCGGTGTGGCTGTCACAGCGGTGGGGACGGGCGCCGACACAGCCGAGGTGAGGGAGACGGGCGCCCGATATCGCACCGACGACTGTCGCATCATCAGCATCTGTTGGTGCTGCTGCTGATGCTGCTGTGGATGCTGCTGCGGATACAATGGCCGCTGCGAGACCTGCTGCCCTGGGATCGTCGGCTGGCCGAGATTCGCGCTAATGGTTATATGCTTCGTCATCTGTGTCTGGGTCACGATCTGCATTGTCTGGCTGCCCTCCGGGGAGCTGGTTTGCACCACTAGCTGGGCTCGCGTTGGACGAACTCCCGCCGGACGCATATTCCTTACAATCCCGCCTTGGACTGTGCCTGCGGCTCCTCTGGGACGCACGTGACGCACAATTGTGGGACTGAGCGTGGGTCGTACCCCTCCGCTTGTGGCAATCATTGTTCGCGCGACAACAGTTCCTCCCCTTGCGGATTTGCCGCGAAAGGCGGCTCGCACGAGGGTTCCTCCTCCGGGAGCTGTGGCCACCAGTTGTGGCTGCTGTGTGTGCACCACCTGCTGCTGCTGCTGTTGCGTCTGTTGCTGCTGGGGCACCTTCTGCACTTGCAACTGCTGGTAGACCACGTTTTGTGTCTGCTGTGGCACCACACGCGTCTGGACGAGGTGTGCCGTCTGTGCTGTGGCCTGCAGCTGCATTTGTTGCTGCTGCTGCTGTTGTTGCTGCTGCTGCTGTTGCACGTGCTGCTGGAGGACATGCTGCTGTTGTGGAGATGTGGCATAAACCACGCGATTGTTGTACGGATGAATGGCCGTGGCCTGGCGCATGATGAGCTCCTGGTGCTGTTGCGCCTGGATAAGCACCGGCTGCTGCTGGACAATCACATGCATATTGTTCTGGATCAAATATCAAATGAGAAGAATCGTTATATTGAATACTAAACCACACACACCCCCAAAAACATTAGCTAAACTGCAATTTCTATTCATTTGTTGTCTTGATTCTTACCGTAAGCGGCCGTTGCTGCTGCTGTGTGGTGGTCATGCGGTAGACGACCTGCGGCTGCTGTTGTTGCTGCTGCTGAGCGGGCGATGTCTGTAAATGCAAGGTCTGGGCCTGCTGTTGAGTCTGCTGATGCTGCTGCTGCTGGGGACTCTGCAGCAGTTGTTGCTGCTGCTGGGGACTCGTCTGTACCAATTGTGCCGTCTGCTGTTGGTAGGTGGGTGCATGGTACTGCTGCTGCTGTTGCTGGAGGACCTGCTGTTGCTGTTTCTTCTGTTGCTGTTGCAATTGCTGCATGGATGCATGCTGCACAATAGTATTGGGCTGTAGGACCTGCTCGGAGGTGTAATATATCTGCTGGGTGTGCTGAATGGCGGGCTGTTGCTGCTGATGTTGCACATATTGCTGCGGCTGTTGCTGCTCCAAATGGATCTGTTGCTGTTGCTGTTGTGCATCCTGCTGTTGGTAATGCACTTGCTGCACTTGGTGCTGCTGATGGTGCATCACGACTTGCTGCTGCTGGTGCTGCTGCTGTTGTTGCTGCTGCTGCACCGCGAGATCGTCCCCGCCGATGATATAGTGGGCCGGAGCCGTGGCCTGTTGGGGCTGCTGGTATTGGGCCGGCGCCGTGGTTTGATACACCACCTGCTGCTGGTCGTTGAACACCAATTGCTGGTCATCCTGGAGCACCAGAGACTGCGATATATGTAAATGGCATTCCAGTTTATAGTTGCACGAAGTTTGCTGCCGACAGCACTCGAAATACTCACCCCAACCTCCTCTTGGGGCACTTGCACCACCTGCAAATCCGAGTAGACGGGCTCCTCTATCGGCACTAGATACTGCTCCATTTTGTGTGGGGTCTGTGGTGGTGTACTGCGAGAGAGTACAAAGAGCGGAGAGTAGACACAATTTTTTAATGATGGTCTCATCTACAAGATGGCCTTCCACACACACACAAACACATGGCAAGCGCACACAAAAAAAAACTCTTTTTCTCCACATCAATGGTGCAGGATAATAGACCGCATAGAGCAGTTAGCAAGCGGAACGTTTATTCCACGTTTATTATACAATTTCTGGGACATTTCTTCAGACCATTTTCATGCGTTTCACACACATACACAAGCAAACACAAACACACACCTTCTGCTGCGTTGATGAGAATACGTCCGTTTTGCCTTGCTGGAATCCACTGGTGATTCTAGGACCGCGATTCACTTAATCTGTGTTAAATCATTTTCACAAAACGTTTTCACACACAAGTGGGACAAGTGATTGGCTAGCCTTGCGCAGCGTTTTCCTTTGAAAATTTTTTAATTTCTTGTATTATAATGCAAGCAGCCGAATCAAATATGGCGTTGCTCAGGGCAGCATTACAATTGAACGTTTCTGGCAATGCCTACTCGACGCTGGCGCGCCCCCTGGCGGCTTGGCGGAGTTTCGCAGCTGTTTACAAACATTTTTCAGTGTTGCGTTTTGCTACACTCGTTTATCGAAGTCTGTCTTTTCGCCGTTTTCGTCTAATGTTTAGTGGTACCACTCTTTCGCATGTAGCCATTTTATTGGGACCACTAAATATTTGAGACATTGGAGTTGCACTAATATTCACTGATTTAAGCACTGAAGCCCGCGTTTGAGTGTTTGATATCATTTTATTCGCCATTATCAGCTTGATAAGCTGCACTTTGTTGAACGCGATTTTTTGGTAATTGAAATCGCGATTTAAGGGCCGTTTGTAGCTAACGGACAGCGCGCTCTTGCAGATTGGATGGAAGAGGAAGAGAGCCCAACAAAAACAGAATACAGGGGAGATGTGAAGCAAGCGATATACCAAACCGATAGCTTTGGCTGATACAAATCGTTAGCTAAAAATGTGCGTTTCAGAGATAAATAACCGAAATTCCACTATGGAAATTGCGTTTTCTGGGTGATTTTATATCCTTGCAAAGATAAATCGGTTATTCGGTTAATAGATGAGGAAAAGCTACCCCTCAAATGTATCGAAAATATCCATTAATCTTGGATTTCAGCAAACTCTCATCGCTAATCTCAAACATTTCATTATAATTTCATCATGTCCAAAATTTTCACACCCACAAATCAAATTCGTCTCACAAATGTGGCCATTGTGAGGCTAAAAAAGGGCGGCAAGCGTTTCGAGATTGCCTGCTACAAGAACAAGGTCTTGTCCTGGCGTAGCAACAGGTGAGTAGTGGCTAAATTTCGTCCGTGTTGCTTGACGAAACTCTTCTCCCAATTGACATCGCAGCGAAAAGGACATCGATGAGGTCCTGCAAACCCACACAGTTTTCACAAATGTGTCCAAGGGCCAGGCGGCAAAGAAGGATGAACTGCAGAAGGCCTTCAACAAGACAGATGAAACAGAAATCTGCAAGGAAATCCTGAGCAAAGGCGAGCTTCAGGTATCGGAGAAGGAGCGCCAAAGCGTGCTCGACACGCAGCTGAACAGCATCGTCAACAGTGTGGCCGCTCTCTGCGTAAATCCCGAGACGCGTCGCCCCTACTCGGCATCGATCATCGAAAAGTCCCTCAAGGATGCCCACTTTTCGGTGAAGATGAACAAAAACACCAAGCAGAACACCCTGGAGGCCATCAAAATGCTGCGCGAGCATCTGCCCATCGAGCGGTCACGCATGAAGCTGCGTGTCAGCTTTGCGGGCAAAGAAGGCGGCGGCAAGCTCAAGGAATCTGTGGTGAAGCTGGCCAACGCCGTGGAGCACGAGGAATGGGAGGAATCAACGCTCCATTTGACGTTGCTGATAGATCCTGGACAATATCGCGTGATTGACGAGCTGGTGCGCAACGAAACCAAGGGCAAGGGTCTGCTGGAACTCCTCGAACTCAAAGAGGTCGTAGAGAATGAAGAAGTCTTCTAAATTGGACATATATATGTGATTATTTATGTTAAACAGAATACAGGATCGAGAATATACGATATAACAAATTCATTTGCGCTTCTTGAGATTCTCGAAGCGACGCGACAACTCATCGAAATCGATCTCATCTTCATCCTCCTTCTTGCCGCCTGAAGGTCCTGGCGGAATGTCTGGCAGATCCAAGGGTACATTGGGCAGCGATGAAGGGTCCAAGGCAGGCGGGGCACTCGGAAGTGTGGGCCCCGGAGGTCCACCAGGAGGCAGCTTTGAACGCGGTTGTGGTTTCGGTTTGTTGGCATTCTGTGAACGAAAGGAACAAAGGGAGGTTTTTAGCTGGGGATTGAGTATCCCTAGTTTCGGGACCTGACCTGCAGGTTGACGGGATTAATGGAGGTATAACGTGGCGGCGGATCATTGTTGGGTTTGGGGCGCTGTCAAGCAAAAAAAAGGGAAATCAAAAAGCAAATCAAAATCAACAAAAACGGTGGGAGTGATAGCAGGCAGCAGGCAGGGTATGAATCATTTTCTGGGATGATAAGACTTACACGCATTGACGTCATATAGAGTGAGATAGAGATACAAGGGCGAAGGAGAAGATACAACCAGTTAAGTGATGAAAGAACGATAAGCACGATCAATGTTAGTAGATTAAAGAGGCAACGCCAAACTACAGGAAAAACCTACCAAAATATTCTCATCTGGGCTGCCCGAATCATCCGTATTGTTAGTTTCCCGCTGCAATAACCCATAAAATCATGCAAAGACATGCGAAAAAGTGTGAGGAAATATACAAAAAGATCTAGTTACATTTATGAAATTGGTATTCAGATCCTTCTCCTCCGAGCATTTGCCAGGCACCACCGATGGCATCGATGGCTGCGACGGCGGTGGCTGATTGGGCGGTATGTTGTAGGCAAACGGTGGAGGCGGCTGTGGGCCTCCTGCACAAGCACCAGCGCCTCCTCCACCGCCACCGCCGCCGCCGCCACCAAATGGCGGATAATTAAACGGTTTGCTTGTGGGTGGCACCGGCATATTGGGAAGCGGCGGCACGGCCGGATACCCAATGAAACCCATCTGTGGCGGAGGCATACCACCACCACTGAGATTGTTACGATCGGAGAGATCGATAAGATGGTGCTGTTCCGGCTTCTGTTCCTCCTGCATCACCTGCGGATCCGGCTCGTACTCGATGTTGTAGTTCTTGGCGATGGCAAGCAGATACTTCTCCACCAGCAGCTTGGGCGGCGCCTGTAGGGTGAGCTTGTGCATCAGCTTCTCGGACACATAATGATCCCCGGTGGCGGTGCGGTTGTGCTCCGCAAACTGCGGCCCGTACTTCGTGATGAAGATGTCCGAGATGATCTTGAGCTCCGCAATGTCGCTCTGCAGGCGGGGGCAGACCCACACAAGGCTGGCCACTGGCTCGGCTATGCCCGAGTCCAGCTCCTTCATTTGGGTGATGAGACCGAAGCGAGCGAGCAACAGGTCGCAGTACATTTCCACCATTTCCATCGCCTCCACCAGGTAATCCTCACTGTGGGACAGAGGGTAGATGTCTGTAGTGGTGGAGGACCATTTATTGCGTGTCCTACCGTATTATATGTTCCACCCGGATGCGGGCACGCTCCGTTTTCCCCGTGGCCAGATAATCGGCTATCTCCTTCCTGGACTTTTGCGTCAGCTCCGCCTTCTTCTTCTCCAGGAGCTTCAAGCGATTGAGGGCCAACCGCAGGTTGGTCTTCAGCTTGTTGTAGTTGGGTCCGCTGGAGAACATTGTGATTTGAGCAGGTACTTTGCTCTGGGAAGCCGTTAACTAATGAAAACTGTGAACTACGTTTTTTGGTGATTCATAAATTAGGGAAAAACAAATGTCAGTGACGTCACAGGCATGCCAACCTGTGGCTGCACAAGACAGTTGGCAGTTCGGCGAAAGTTCACCATCGATATATCGATATGGTATTTTGTCATCGATGTTCCGAGTCGTATTGTAATTACGGTTCAATTTTTCAACTCGAGCGGCCCATTTTTCAACCACCAATAGTATCGATAGCACTATCGATTTCTTCCCAACCATAAATTCCGGTAAATTCGATTCGCGCGTAAAAGTGTTTTTTTTGTGGTTTCTTGAGCTTTATTTCGTTGAATTTTCAATAACATAAAAACCTTTAACAATATTTGTTACAATTTGAAATTTCACCGCTGCACTGCAATTGTGTTTGGCAGCCGGCTGCCGCGATACCAGAGGCAGCACAACCGCCAGACACGACCGCAAAACGGCGGTGCATGTTCGATCATGTCCATCATAGCGGTTATTTTGGGTATTGTATATATGTATGGATGTGTGTCTTTTTGTTTTGTGTGTATGTGTGTCTGGGAGGGGCCGCTTTTTGTCCAACTTAAAATCTTAACTAAATCTAAACAAAAAAAATCATTTTGCAGCATTTTGCGAAGTGCTCACAAATGCGGAGGCTCCGGCGGCGGTGTGGGGCACTCTTCGTCGGTTCCGGTCTCGCACGGACACGCCTCCATCTCGTCGACCATGCAACCCTCTTCCTCGCAAACATCCGTCGTGAGTGTGGTGGCCTCGGACAAGTCTTCGCGATAGCCGGCATACACCTCCGCGCGCTGCTTGATGATCTCCTGTATGATGGCCGTGAGGATCTCGCGTGAGTCCACAATGTGGCCCACCTCCTCGGCCACCTCCGCCGAGAGCCAGGGACAGATGCTCTTCATGAGCTGCTCCTTCTTGACGGCATCGCTGGCCGGCTCGATGTTCTCCAGGACCTCGGGCACCAGACTGGCAATGTGGCCCTGCAAGAGCTTGGCTGCCGTCACGCTCTTCTGCATCTCGGCGTCGAGTTCCTTAGCAATGGCATCTTGCCGCAGGCGGCGCTCCTTCTCGGCACGCAGACGCATCTCCTCAGCCTCCAGGCGCCGCAGTTCGGCAAGCTCCACCTCGCGTTGGGCGAGGAATCTGCAAGAGAACGAAATAACTGTATAAAAATGATCTTCGAATGGATCTCTGGTTGGCGTACTCCTCCTGCTTGCGGCGCAAACTGTCCAATTCCATCTCGTGTGCGACCTCCAGCATGCTCTGCTCGATGCAGGCATCCACCAGGACATCAATGATGGGCTGTGCCTCGGCATCGAAGTGGAAGAGCTCGCCCTCGCCGATTTCGGTGCCCACATCGACGCCCACCTTCGCGGCGATGAATGGCGGTGTTGGCGGCTTCTCCAAAAACAGATCCGTTTGCGTGTCCACCGTGAATTCGGGTGGACGTTGTCCCAGTTTCTCCAAATACTTCTCTGTCTGAATAGTCTCGTGTTTGCGGCCCTTCACCGGCGGTGGTGTGCCCAGGACATTCCTCTGGTTCCTGCATTGGATCGAACGCTTTCGTAGCATATTGCGTCGCTTAATTTCCGCGGCCTTGTCGAAGGGATCCACATCCGCCTGAAAAACACACACAACACAAGAAAGTGGATCAATCCCGGGTCACGGCTGGCGGAGGACTGCCCGCCCGATGGACAGCAGCATACCACTTACCACCATGGAGGCGTTGCCAAAGTTGCTGCCTTTTATGACACGACGGTCGTACATGACGTTCTTGTAGGGCTCTGGCGGCGGCACAACGGCTCTGCGGAGGAGGCGAGAGAAACGGTGAGTATTCGTATTCCATCAATTAAAGGAGAACCTCGACCCAGTTCAACGCTCCCTTGCGTTCCTCTCTCTTTATTCTAGAGCCCCCAAATCTGATGCACCGCCTCCAACGCGGGCGTGCGATAATCATCAAATTTGTGCATTTCCCAACGCCCCAACGCCCCAACAGCCCAACGCCCCCCAGCTGGCTGCTTGTCAAGTCATCTCCGATTCGAATCAATTTCGAAGGCCCACCCCCCTCCCACCCCAACCGAAGTTCACTACACTTTTGGGTCAAACGAAAGACCATTAATGGAGTTCCCTCGAGTTTTAAAGCTTTAAAACTCCTTTTTCGCCGCCCTGGTGAGTAATTTATGACTTGCTAATTTCTATGTACTATTCCTTTGCCAAACATTCCTTGTGTCAGACGTGTGGAAGAACTTGGATCGTGAACTCGTGACCTATGCAAATTTTTGTAGCCACTTTTTGGCCGGAAGTCAGACATTGAACGTCGCGGGCGAATGTCTGGTCTGGTCTGTTCGGGTCGGGTCGGGTCTGGCTGCGGCCTGGCCTGGCCTCATGTTCCTAAAACTTTGGCTCTAAATAACAGGAGGGTTTTTCTCTAGAGTTACACAGCTGTTGGGGGACAGGTTACTTAAGGGATTAGCTCTGTTTTGGGATCTGTATTCTGTATTTTGGCAAATGACAAAGATTCGATTAACTAGGTTCCCATAAAAGAAAGGATACCTTGAGTTTTTCCATTGCTTGCTGGCTGTAAACCCTTTTTTGTTCTACAATCTGTCTGGTATTTATACTTTTGTTCCACTTTTCTACTTTCCTCGTTGCACAAATGTCCCATAAGCGAAATACCCTTTTTTTATACACATTTTGCTTACAGTAAACCCCCTTTATTCTGCCCATTATCTTCCGTATTGTATTCCCCCTCTAAAGTGGCCAGAAAAATGATATTTACTTAATCAACTTCCTGCCTAACCTTCTCCTTTGCATTGTTGAGTGATATATTTCACATATTTACCATCATACGAAAGTGGAGACCCATTTTTGTGGCTGCGCCATTTACCGGAGACACAGAGACACACAACAACCGGCGTCAGGAGCCAGGAGCCAGGGGTCTGGGGTCTGGGTTGGGTCGTCCCATGTCCTTCCTGCCACACATTTGGGTGCTGGGGCTGGTGTGGCAATTGAACTTAATTTCCCCACCAATTTGTGGCACTATTTTTTGTCGTTGCTTTGCCCTTTTTTTGTCGTTGTTTACGAAATCTAGATTTAAATTATTTAAGGGACTGCCATACGACACGAAAAACATACGAGAGTCATTCTCTTTGCCTGTCCTTCTTTTATGCAAGGGCTTGGTTCCATTTTCCGCTAGTTTCCACTTCATTTTCCCCAGTAGTTTTCCCTCATTCTCTAACCTAATAAATTAATCAAAACATGACCAAATGAATTGAAAAACAAAAACATTTTCTAATTGAAATGCTAAACCCACGAAATCGATTGAAGGAATCCGAGGAAGGAGGTCGAGGGAGGGAGCCCCCCAGAGTCCGTTTCTCATTTGAATTTATGGTAATATTCGTACGGCCGGCCCACTTTACTGCCATTGGATGACCGCCAATGCCAATACAGCAAGGAAGCCCCCGCCTTTGGGGGTTTCTCTCTGCTTCAGGGGTGGAAACCGAATATCCTGACGTCGCGGCCCGTGTGCCTCTGCTTTTATTACCTCTTGTCGCTGGTGCCGCGACGCTGCTGCAGTTGCTGCTGGAACTGGGCCTTCGTTATGTGAAGACCACCGGCCAGGGATTGCGTTTGATCGGTGGAGGGGGCCTTGGGGGCCGCTGCCACTGGAGCTGCTGCCACTGCCACTGCCGCAGTGGCTGCTGCAACGGCAGCGGTGGCACGAAACCCATTCAATCGTGTGACAGTCACCGCCTTGGGCTCCTTTTCCCCGGGATTGGGCGATTTGAGAGGGTCCTTCGAGTAGTAGCTCTGCAGGATCATGGGATACGAGGAGTAGGCATACACATGGCGCCGCAGCATCGAGGCTGGGAGCATCTGCACTTCGTGGGGCGGCGGCAGAAAGATGCCGGTGGGCACAGTCGTCTCGAAGCGCGGACGCTGTGTCATGTCGCCGGAGTGACGGGCGGCCATCCAGGCGCCGGTGATGCCGCCGATGCTGCTGATGCCGCCACCGTAGTTCTCCTCCGGCGCCAGGAAACGCAGCTTGTGGCTCAACTCATCCGCAAAGCTGCGCACCTCCTGGTTGCTCCTCGAGAAGAAGGATCGAGGCGGATCTACATGGTCCACGGATGGTTCCGGTTCGAGCGGCACCTCCTGTCGCCGTGTGGGACGCACTATGGCCTGCTGTGGTCGCGGATTGAGAGCAAGATCCTCCGAGGGATGAGGCTGCAGCACGGAGAAGGCGTTCGTCACCACGTGCTGGAAATTGTAGGGACTCTGATAGCGTTGCACGTTGTAGGAATTGTTCAAGTTGGAGTTGGAGTTGGAATTGGAGTTGGAGGTGCGTCCTGGTGCATAGGGATAGCTGCTGGAGAAGGAAAAGTTCTGCTGCTGCTGCTGCTGTGGCTGTGGCTGTGGCTTGGGAAAGTGATCTTCGTGCTGATTCTTGGGGCTGCTGCTGCTGGTCGTCTCTGTCTCTGGCATCGTTCAACAATTGTGTGTGTTTACCGGTAGTTGTGCCTGCTGCACTGCTGCTCCTGCCGCTCCCCTCCCGCTTAGGAACGGGCGCTGCCGGTCACCGCAACGTCCATTTATAGCCAATGGCTAATGGCCCTTGGGGCCCGACACACCACACAGCAGACCTTTCCACACGCCGGAAAAAGTTAATCAATATTTTGCCTTTGTTTCGTTCTATTTTCTAGTATTTATTCCGCCCGCCTCTGCGGAGAGTGCCACACGCGTTGTACCGCACGATTCGAGTGGCGAAAGCCAAATGACCAAGGGACCAAAGGACCTCGCGATGGTCCGAGCCTTGGGACTGACGCCTCGGCCTGGGGACACGATAAACTTTCGTGTGTGGCATGCCCATCCCATTCCAATGCCCCTCTGGTCAGCGGACTCTGCCCCAGAGTGCGGTGCGGCGAGGTGTGGTCTGGTGTTGGGGCCTTTTTTTGATGGTGTTGCAATAATAATGCGAAAACTGTTAACAGGCCACCGAATCCCAAGAATTTTTGCATAGGAATCGTCGCGTCGTGTGTTTGGGTCTCCTTTTTCTCCATTATTGGACCTTGAATTTCGTTATCCGCAAGTGTCGCACCATTTCCCGTGGCACCTCGATGGGTGGCAGTGGCAGCGGCACTGGCAGTGGCACCTCCTTTGAGCTGCAGATGACTCCACGCATTTCCATTGAATGTGACATTGAATTAAGAATGTGGCTGGTCCGGGTGGTTTTCTTACCAGGAAATCCTCCCACTTTCCTCCTCCTTTCGGGGGCCACTAATGTCAATGGGCAAGGTCAATCGCGATAAACGATAAGGCGGGAAATTAAAGAGTCACTTGAAGTGGATTAAGTGGATTTCGCGGCAATCGAAGGCGCAATTCCGAGATACACAAGGATGTTCCTCGATAAGAAAGCGGTCTACCAGGAAAAGGCCAGAAGGCAAATGAAGATGGAGGATCTATAATTAAAGTGGGTTCTAGAATCGGGGAACATCTGGCATTGCTTTCGGCTTCCTTGATCGATTTTTGGGCGATAGAAATCACTCCTTGTACAAATAATTGGGGGTTTTCCCTACTATTTGCGGTCTTACGATAAGAAATACCATCGATTTCTTGAGGACTTCAACGTTTTCTTTTAAGGTTTGAGTCTACGTGGTTTAAGTGGTATAGATTTTCCCTCCCTGTATTTGTTTTTGTGGTTACGAATTGGACAATGTCTCTGGTATATTGAGAACTGTGTTTTCTTAGGGTTTGATGGATATTTTCTTCTCTACTGATATTAGTCGATAATTGAAGGATTTATCTGTCATTTGTGGGTTTGAAAATGGTTTACTTGGATCCCTATGGATTCTATACAATATCTTAGGGATTTTCCTGTCAAATTCCTGTTCAAATAATACCTAGCAAAATATATTCTTCTTTAAGGGTTCTAGAATGATATGCATGGGTTTTGTTCTCCATGGGTTTTATATGGTGTAATCGATTTCCTTAGAATATACCCCATAAAACCTTCCTACTTTTATCAACTTTCTTCAGATAATCCTGCCGTATTCCTTAATTTGACCTTAAGCCGACCCAAGACCGACGCGACCCTCCCCCCTCCCCCCTCCCCCCTGCCCCCTAACACCCGTTCTTCTGTCATTGTCCTTCCATTTCTGGTGTATTTTTATGATTGTGCGTCAGTTTTTAAGCACCCAACGAAAGCTGCACAGTTCGTAAAAAAGGCGCTCCCCCTCGCCCCGCAATCTGCCCGGTAATCATCATTCATGCCACTTCTATTGTTACCACCTTTTGTGGCACACGAATGTCTCGATTCATTGCGTGTCCGTCCGTCCATTGTGCTGGCCAGCCCCATACCCCGCGAAAGCGTTTAATAATTTATTTACGCAGTTTATGACTTTCGGTTTCTAGTCTTTCTCCGGATTCCATTGACCCCAACAGCTAGGGGGGGATCGCATCCCTCTCCGATGTGTCCCCGAAATGGATGTGGATGTGGCATCTACTTACTTGGGGCAACCTTTGATTTTGACGGGCTTTGGCTGACTGGACCACCAGAAGGCTTGCTTGCAGGGCGGCGCCGGGCAGGGGTTGTCCTGCCACTTGATCTGCATCTCTGTGACCTCGGTGCGGATGAGCAAATCCATGCCCAAATTCTTGCCACCGCCGGGGCCACCGCCGCCGCCCCCGCGCAGGCGATCGCCGCCTGCCCGGTAGCCACTGCCACCGCCGTTTGGCTTGTAGTCGCGTTTCGGAATCGTTGGCATCACTTCGCGGCTTTTTGTGCGTTTTTTTGTGTGTTAATAAATTTACGAAAAGTATCTCTCTCACTCGGGTCAGAGATCTACCGGAATGAAGTGTACAAAACTATGGCCCCAAAATGACGCATTTTCCACGGGCTTACTGTTTTTGTTTTTCTTTCGGTTTGGAAATTTTATGATTATTTTGAAATTTGTATTGTTTTGGGACCGACGTTTGCCTGGATTTGTATCCAAAATAAACAACAACGGCGGAATTTCCCGTCAGTTGCTATGGAAATGGATATGCGGCATTGTTAAAAAACTGTTGCCGGTGTGGAGGAGGAGGAGGAGTCAGGGCAGTGGAGTCGTTAAAGATGGGCTCCCTGCGTCCTGTTGCAATGCGCCATTAAGCGGGGGGGTTTTTGTCTGTGCGATATATCTGCGACTTGCGTCTCTGATATGTTTATCGAATGAATAATTGGTGGGGTTTTTTTTTTTGGGACACCAAATGTTGATTTTCTTTTTTGGTTTTTCCACTCCCGATTTATTGGCTGTATAAATTATTCAAGGATTGATTGTGTACTGTCTGTCTTTTAGTGTGAGATTTCTATTTATATATCTCCCTCAATCAAATAGGACTCCCTGGACAGCGCAAAGGAATGGAATTCTCAGCTTTTTCTTAGCTTAAAGCTTAATCTCTAGGCTCCTTTCCTTGGAAGTTTTGAATTTGAATTGCGAAGTTTATTTGGTGATGTGGCAGCCCTTTTTATCCATGTTTTAAGCTTAAAGCTTGATCTGTGCTCTTTTGAATAGCGATGTTTATTCAGTAATGTGGCAGCCCTGTTTAGATGTTGCTTTTTCAACGAAGTGGCAGCATGAAAAAACAAGCAGCTGCACTGCTCTCAAGCAGTTTTCCAACTAAGCTGCTTTCAACTGCTTGTAAGCATGTGTTGTTTGTAGCTAACGACAAAGCAGGCAATTCAAAGCAGTGGCCCGATTTAGTATTTATTTATTTATTCATTTATTTACAGCTAGATTACAGCTAAAATATCATAATAAACTATCTCACAGTACGATATTTGCAGAGTATAGGGTTATATTAGATTTGAAAATTGTTGCAAAATTTGGCCACGCCCCCACAAGGGACGAAAATCCATAATTTCGAAGATTCTCTCGCAACAACGCAGAATTATAGAAACTGACAATTATTTATAGTATATTTCCGATCTGGATGTCCCATCCACATTAAATATGAGTATTTTGAGCCAGAAAGAACAAATTAAATTTCAGTGGCTCATTCCCTCTCTTTCACACACACTCTTTCGTCGTGCGGTGTGCGTCCTCTGGCGGGGTATAAGAAATGAATGAGAGAGAGAGAGAGAGACAGATGTAAACAAAAATGTAAAGGAAAAGGAATAACATATCAAATCGAGTCTCCCTTTTGCGGAGAGCTATACCAAGCAATGTATAAAATATATTGTATAAATTATATAAATCATAGCATCATCAGCATATGTACATCCATATGTATTGACTAAGTACCGGACATAAAAGTAGAGCCGCGGCTCCCAGCGTCCCCCCTCGTTCTTTCACAATTAATAAACATTTTTACGCTTTTCAAATTTTAATTTTTTTTCGTTGTCTTCTCGTTAAATTAATTTCCGTCACAATTATGAAAATGTTATAATTGCGTAAATAATGAATCTAAATCGTTTATGATTTGCCTGATAAAATCCTTTGAATTTCTTGGAAAAATTAAGAGCCTGACTTGGAATTTCCATCATTCAAACATTAGTCAATCGAAATCTTAAATTTCCATCAAAGCCCTGCCCAGCCCAGCCCCTTCCCTGTATCTAATTTCATGGAAACGTGTCATTTAATTACATTTTCCCCAGGGATTTCCCCCATGGCTTCCCTTTTGCTTCCATCCGATTTCCAATATTTATCATTAATCCCGCTCTAAACGATACGATCCAATCGGAAGGGAAATTACATGCTGCATCCTTTTTGTATTTTGTTTTTGCCTATTCATTAACGCAATCCATGGACCCGTGCCCCCTGTCTGCTGTACCCTGCCCCTCTACCCCGGTGTCCCCCTGTTCCCCTGTCCGTAATGAAGAGTGGACAATGACTGTGCGACTGTCGTGCGATGACGTTTTGCTTTATGCCGTGGCCTCTGTCTCTGATGCTCGATGCCCGATGCGCGGGGGTGATAATTGTGTCCCCTTTTGTCCGTGTCCCTGTCCCCGTCCCTGTCCTGTGTGGCATACCCCCTTCTTGGGCCCCTTCTGTTCTAATAAGATCACAGAGGCGGCAGAGGCATTGAGTCAACATTCAACAACAATCAATAAGTGGCCATGACGTTTGACATTTGAATCTTTTGGGAAAAGGTTAATGATGCCACCACTCGAGGGGCAGAGGCAAACAGAGGGCCACACAAGCGATACCCACACCCTGGCCCTCGGAGAGGCGACACGAGGCTGCGAGACCCCTGTCCCTTGGAGACGATGAGGATCTTGTCCGAGCAATTTCCCGATCATTTGCACAGATACACAGACCCGGAGTCCGAGTCCGCGTCCGAGCCCTGCCTTTTCTGCGAAGGCTCTCGGGGGGAGGAGAGAAACGGAAAGGAAAGGGAAAGGGAAAGTGTGTGTCCCACTGCGTCTCGATGTCAAACAAATCATTTTACACAGATCTCTACTGGTTTTCCAGTAGGTGTGAGCCCTCGATGCAGTTTTTCCCAAGAAAATTGATTAATTTATTGACTTGCGAGAATGGAAAAAGTGATACGGATGGGTCGGAGGTTGAAGGTCGCTGGGTAACGGTGCCCCAGGGATCGTAAAAAATATTTTAAAGACAGAAATTGTGGAAATCGTAATTGTGCGGGCATTGGTTTTTTTTTATGAGTTATTTATGTGGCGCCAACAGGAAAATGATGGAAAATATCACAGAATGTTGGAAAAATGTACGAAAAATCAGCAACCATCAAAACAAAAGCCTTTAGTTTTTATGTGATTTTGAATTTATTTTAATGGCAAATCGAATGCATTTTTATTCGAATTTATTTAATGAGATTGGTCTTTTATCTGATTTATTTTATTGATTTAATTTATTAAATGCAATCATTCTTTTATCTGATTTATCGGACACATTTAAGCAAATTGTATACATTTTTCTGGTGTTTTTGTTAAAATTTATAATTAAATTTGTTTTTTAAATATCTTGAAAGTAATTTTAATATTCCCCTGCACTTTGATAAATATAGAATTTACTTGAAACATACCCTCTTTGAAAATAAATTTGATGAGTAAATTCCTTAAATCTGTAGATAATGAAGACCCTCCCGACTCTCCTCCATGTTTTATAGGAGATAAACAAAACGCAAATTAAAATAAGTATAACAATTTTTCCGTCTCTTAATGACAAGCCCCATCCATGTATCGTATAAGAAATGCCAGGCACGCAAACTTTTGCCTGACTGAAATATTACCCCGGGAAAGTACGGGAGTACGGGCGGAGTATTATTGATGGCCAACATTCAGGGCGGACGGATGGATAAGTGGGTATTTAACTGTGAGTTAACCCCTGGTTAAGTATGTTTCAGTGTTAGTCAGACATTAGACATTGCCGGGGACTCTCCTTGTCGATGGTTTTTGTGGCGGCTGTCATTTGCATGCCGGGTGTTCGGTGTTCGGTGTTCGGTGTCCGTTTGTCGATCGATTGCCTTCCTCCTAGAACTACAATTGTGGAATAACTTAAAGAAAGGGGAAACACACGGTGGGGCACGGCAGGGCACGGTAGGGCACGGCAGGGGCGGGGGGCGGCGGGAAAATAGAAAATGAAATAAAAATAAAAACGCGATCGTCTGATCGTCAAAAGCGACAGCGCACCGCCACAGCAGCAAAAGCAACAATGAGAATGAACAATATATAAAATCGCATCGGAATTGCTAATTTCTTATTCGATTTTTGTTCGGTTCGGGGTTTCTGTCAGGGGTTTCGTTCCTGAGTTTTGGATGGAACTGGAACCTGGGACAGCGACTGGGACTGCGACTGGGACTGCGACTGGGGGTTCGGTTCGGTTCTCTGTTGTCTGCTCTGTTCTGCTGTTGCCCCTCGCGATCTTTGGGGTCTGGAACCAAGGGCCGTTGCCGTTGCCGTTGCCGTTGACGGGTTCCTGCCACCGTCTGACCGTCTGACCCTCCTCCATTTTGTGGACTTGTGTTTCTGTTTGATTTTTGTGCGACATTTTTGACATGCGGATGTGCCATGTTTAACGAGACGTTCGGGTCGGTACGGCAGTCGCTACAGCAGCTGCACTCCCAGAAACAAATCCTTTTTGCACAGCATTTACAATAAATTGAATTTGACCAAGGACCAATGCTGTTTTGTGGTTAACAGAGCATCCGCCCTGCTGACCCTGCCCCTGTTCCTGTCCCTGTCGGACTCCGGAATCCTCTGCTCGTTGCAATCAAAGTTGCAGGCAAGTGAAATGCTTGTGAAAACCGCAGGAAATTCGTCGAATTTGCCATGCGGTAAACTGTGCTGCCAGGGCCATGGTCTTGGAGCGACAAGGGTCCAAGGATCCAGAGTCCTTGCTGGTGGTGGTGCTGCTGCTGCTGCTGCATCCCCCGACCCCCATTGTCGCATGCATAATTGATGCGAATGTTTGCGGCCAGTGTTTCGGGCTTAGAGAATCCCAAAACCCAAAAACCATTCCTCATAATTGAGTCGCACTCGCACTCGCATTTCTATCTGCAGCATCGACTGGCCCTCCTGGCACTGCCCCTGCCTCTTGCAACCCATGAAAAAAAAAACCCGAAAAGTTCATTTGCTGAAACTGAGATTTTTTTCTCCTGCAGCTTTCCTCCGAGTGCGAGAGTGTAATGAAATGCAGTTGGGAAAGCCGCAGCTTTTCAATTACATATTGAGGAGAAGTTGCTCTGTGGATTGCTCCGTGGAGGGTCTTCCCCTGGAGCTATTCAATATGTAGATCAGCAATGGTGCTGGTGCAAAAATGTACATAAATATGCTATTGAGAGGGACATACATCCCGGAAATACTCACAACTATCAACAAATTACCAATAGTCGAGTGGAATATCTGATGTCTGAAACAACGTTTA